GGTACTGCGAGTGAGTATGAATTGCTCCAAAGATTATAATACCAACATCAACAGTCCGATTTCACAAGGCACAGGTAAAACTGCCCCCAGTTTTCTCACGATGGATGCAAGGGTGTTCCTGGGGTTTGGGCCTGGGCCTTCCAGCATCATGAGCTAGAAAGAGTAGAGGGAACTTTCTCAGGTTGGGTATAGATTTTTATGGGCTGTGCTGGTGATAACCCCAAGAAGCTGAGGAGAGCCACCCTGGATTACGTAACAAGAGTGAGTGAGTACAGCTCTGGGCTTATGCTAAAATTCCCACAGTTGCAAGATGCAGGGGTTTTGCTTTCTGCCCTGAATGTCTGCTGACTCTGGTTGTTTCTGGTAATGGCAGAACAGAGATCAGCTGCATGGCAGTCTGTGCTCTGCAGTGGTGGGGGAAGGAGGCAGTGTGGCTGCCCTTCCCAGAGTCAAGCAGTCACTCAGACCCCAGTCAGTTCCCCAGGCTGAAGTTAAAATCCGTGTGTGACTGTGGAATTCTCCCTCAGCTAAAGCTTCTGGTGGCACAGCATTCAGCGACTTCTTCCCACCTTGCCTTGGGAAGATGGCAATTCTTAGCTGGCAACTGGTTGCACATGCTACTGGTCTCCGCAGCATGTCTGTCCTCTTTCTTCACTGTCCCATGGAGTCTCTGCCACTTCTCCACTGAAAATTTTTGTTAGACCCTTGGCAATGTGATCCTATGCTTTTTGTATGCTACTGTGGGTGAACTCAGTGTGTGTTCTCCCTGTTAGCCATCTTGGATCTCCTGATTTTTGAGTTCTTTCTCACTCACTTCAATTGTTAGGTTCATGGATCCTGGTCACCCTTTGTGATCTCTAACAACTTAAATACTTTTCCATATCGAAATAAAATCTTGAAGATACCTTAGACCTGGATTTCTTTCTTTTTCTATTATCATCTGTTCATCTTGGTCTTCAAGATCTCTTAGTCCCCAATCTACACAGTTGACTTTTAAGATCTCTTGTTTAAAGAGTGTCAATTTGTAAAGTCAACAACAGGAGTCACTGTGCACTTACTCCTCATGTAGGATCTCTGTCCTTAGCGTGCTGTACATTGAGACTTAATGCTATAACGAGTACTCAAACAGTATATTTTACTCTGTGTTTCTATGGGGGTGCAAACTGTTGAAAGCTTTACTTAATGTATACTAAACTGATCTCTAAAAAAAAAAAAGAAGAAGAAGAAGAAGAAGAAATTATCAATTCCCAACTTGACTCTCACTGGGATTAAACATGACAATAGGTCTGATCTGATTTCATCATCACTTGAAAAATCATCTATTATTTTTCACTTTATGTTTCTGTGTGGGAGCAAACTGTTGAAATCTTTACTTAATGTATGCTAAACTGATCTTCTGTATATAAAGA